TCATGACAATGCTTCATATCAGACTGATTGATATGAAGACTTTTCTTGTTCTTGGACCTTTTCTTTTGTCATTCACTCTGCATCCCGTCTGACTTTGAGGATAGTATCATTAGATAAAATCTGTACATGTACAGTGTCTACAGTATATCATCAGAACTGCTGTGCAATGTAGCCTTGCATTAATCACAGTGAGCGTCAGCCCTCATGTGTGTATTTATTGTGACTAACGTGAGTGTCTGTACAGTTACTGACATTCCTTGTTAATTAATCAACAGGTACAAGAAGTCATGAAGTAGCTGGTTAGCCTGGAGCTAGCCATAACTGCAATCACTTCTCATGAGAACATCTGTAATGGCGTAATGTGTTGAACTTAACAGCAGCTGAAAATCATGTTTTTGTGGACCTCCAGTGGTTTAGCTTCTCATTAATGATGTAGATGTGCGCTCCAGGTTGCGTCAGTAGTACACCATGACATACAGTACGTGTGTTTTTTCAGGTGCAGTAGAGCATCTAGCACGACTCTTTATGGTTGTCAGTCAGGACCTTCTTAAAATGTTCTTTTGCTTGAGAGTTTCATGCAGAAAGACAGAAGAATATATATACAGGTGTAGATGTACTGTACAGTTGTGATATTTATCAGGTGACAGTTTTGTGTCAGTATCAGATGGAGCATGTTTGGTTTTTTTTTCTGCAATATGTGTGACTGAAGTGGCTGATATATTTGAAGAGTTTCGTTTTAAGCACACTTTACTTGCTTTGCTTCTGTCATTCACCACCTCCTTCCTTTCCTCCTCTCCTCTGTCCTCCCTTCTCTCCTTCCTCCATCTCCTGTCAGTTTCATTAGTGGTGTCAGAAAGCTTCTAAGGCCGTCACACACCTGTAAACCCAAGTGTGTCAAAGCTTTTCACAAGTTCTTCCACTCTTGAAAAACTATCCAGCAGCTCATCAGATGGGTTTTTGAAAACACACACACACATACACGTGGAGTCCAGCAGGTCCAGACGGTTTTGAGATCTTAATCATATGTTTTTTCCTTCACTCTTAACAGTTTGAGAAGATATGTTTTTGGCAGCTTCTCGAGGGAGGAAAGGTGAGAAAAATAAAGAAGGCAGAGAGGCAGAGCTGACGAGTAAGTGAGGAAGTTCAGGTCATCCACCCAGAACAACAAGGTTCTTTTATGAAGGTAGTGAACTGAACTCTCTCAGAGAACTTTGTGCGTTTTCCTAAAGTACAACATGACAAAAATATGTGTTGCAGTTACGGAAAATCTCAATGCCCAAAACCCCGGGTTTACAACAGGCGATGAATGGATGTTAACAGCACTGTAAAACTCATTTTGGTTCTGTGACTACACGGTGGAAACATTTTTAAATCTCAGCTGATATTGAGGTTCCTTTCTTTCTCCCATGTTCTTCTGTTTCTTGTTTCCTGTGAAAGTGAACATGTCAAGAAGAAAATCCCCTGACTTGGTTTTCAACAACAAACAGTTTTTGAACTTCACACTGAATGTAATTTTTTTTTTACATTTTATTTTGATTATGACTTGGTTATATATTTATTCTTTATAAGTACAGTAACTTAGAACTTAGATATTTAAGAGTGTGTGGGTGCGGACGTGTGTGTTTGTGTCTGTGTGTGAGATGTAGTGCATGTAAACAAGCTTCCCTCAATGTAACAGAGCAGGTGCATCATGTAAACAACATGTGTTGTGTTAAAATGTATTGTTGTTGCTTTGTGTCCAGTAAAGATGAAAATACGACAGCAGGTGTCAAATAGCCGTTCTCTTGTTGTATTTTCCATATTCTTTTAGTGTAAATCTAGTGTATACTGCATACAGCATACAGCATATTAAATGTACAGTATAAAGCAGCAGCAAGACAGAGTTTGTATGGAACTGAGTAGAGGTGCACCTCACAGCTGTGATGGAAAGTAACTATGTCCATTTACTCAAGTACGGTACCTAAGTACAGTTTTGAGGTATCTGTATTTGAGTATTTTCATTTTCTCCTTCAATTTCAGTACATTTCAGTGAAAAATATTGTACTTTGTACTCACTACAGTTATTTGATAATTTTAGCTACTTTTCAGAAAGCGGTTAATAAAACAAAATGCAGTATAATCTCAACATTTATTGATTCACAAGCTACCCAGCAGTAATGTAAAATATAAGCATATAAGGCAGTTAACATCAGCTCTGTCTTTACCAGCTGAAACATTAAATGTGATGTACACAATAATACCTCAATAATTGTTATCTAATAATATGATGACCATCAAAGTAAACTGTGCCATTTTGCAAAATGAGTACTTTAAGTTTTTTAAGCTAATATATTTGTAATTTTACTTAGGTAACATACTTAGGGAGGCCATAGTGCGGAGGGTAGAGCAGTCATCTCCGAAGGTTGAAGTGAAAATCACAAATCTAAGGCACTTTAAAGCAGCAAGTGAAGGAAGCAAATAAAAATACAACGAACACAATAAAATGCAGAGAGAATACAGTATATGCTACGTGGGAGCCATGGAGTGTAAATACTCAGCAGTGAGTGTGCAATTGTGCATGTGCAAAATGAGCATGTAAACAGTACAGATGGAATTACATGAGGTAGATCCTGAGTCAGCTGTTTAGGAGTCTGGTGGCATCTGTATTTGAGTATTTTCATTTTCTGCTTCAATTTCAGTACATTTCAGTGAAAAATATTGTACCTTGTACTCACTACATTTATTTGATAGCTTTAGTTACTTTGCCCCTACCCTCCGGTTGGAGGTAGGTGTGAACAATCCATGCTGGGGGTGGGTGGGGTCCTTGAGGATGGAGGCAGCTTTCCTACGCACCCTGCGGTGGTAAATGCTCTGCAGAGAGGGCAGTCGAGTCCTGGTGATCTTCTCCGCAGTCTTTAACACTCTCTGCAGGCACTTGTGGTCCATAGCAGTAGTGCTGCCATACCAGACAGTGATGCAGCTGGTCCAGATGCTCTCAATGATGCAGCTGTAGGAGTTGCAAAGGAACCTAGGCGACATGCCAAACCTCATCAACCTCCGCA